TACACAAACACACACATATGAATCTACATATAAAATATGTGGACACACACACCTACACATGTACGCATGTATATGTATACCCTACAGGCAGGCAGCAGGATAAAACAACATATCGTAAACTGTACTATGAAACATTACGATAGACTTCCGTTCAATGTTGCTCAGGGCTTACGGGTTGGTCAGGGTTTAGAGTTTTAGGGCTTCGGGCTTGCTGTGGGTCGGGGCACAGGGGCTTTTGGGTTATTGGCCTCACATCTACAGTCTGAGGTGGGGTGGTAAAAAAACATAAGAACATGAGAGTATAATGCAGAATAAAACGGAAAGATATAGTAATATATAATCCAGCAATATATATATATATATACAATACAAAGCATCATGTGGCACTGTACTATATGATAGGTTGAAATACAATATACTATCGTATCATACCACATAATATACTAATGTAACATAATACAACATAGTCAGTGAAGTATTACATACTATACAGTATTATTTGGTGCAAGGCTCATGGCTTAGAGTTTAAGGTCTAGGGTGTCTTGGACATTTATGTAGTGTGTGTCTAGGACCGCCATTGCAACTGCAAGTGCGGTTCAAGCTTTTTGCAAGTATCGCTCTTCGCACAGCAGCTACCGGGAGGACCGTGCAAGTCACGCAGCGGAAGTGGAGATGTGGATGCTGTAGAAGTCTGAAGACTTTGTGAACTCCTGCTTAGTCCTCTTACAACTAGATGACAATATTCCAGCAAAAGGCCTAGTTAGCCTAGTTGCTGATGCCCTTCTACTACTGAGGTCTATGCAACCGAACCATGGGACCTTGGAGGTTGCAGGCTTCTGACACCGCGAGAGTGTGCGTGAATCTTCCACGAGCCTCTCAGTCATCTTCGGCTCTCCGTCCAATTAAAACTGTAGAGACATCAGCAAAAGAGAAGCATTGAGCTATTGTCTCTGTTCTCAGTGCCTTTGCAAATAGCACCTGTGGCTATCGGCAGGAGGTGGCCGTCTGCGCCTCACACAGGCAGGCCTATCGTCATTTCTGAAGGATGGGCTGGTAACCGCCCATCTCTTGCTGTGCTGGTGCCGAAGAAGTCGCAGTTGCGCTCCCAAATTGCTCTGCCCATTGCCCATCCACCTTTGCGACGAGGGCAGGTGCGTGCCAGATATAGGCTTGCATACACAACTGCTAAAGTTGCGAGCAATAGAAGATACCTGCGTGTGTATATCCATCTATATATATATATATGTCTTTATTCAGCTATCTGTTTGATTAATGTTTTTTGCACATGCATATACAAACCTATCGGCTTTTATGTGCGTTTATGTGTGTAGCTACATTTCCGTCCATAACTGTATCTTCTAACTCTGATTACACGCACATACATGTGTATATATATATATATACACATAAATATGTAGATGTTTACATGTACATGCGTAGAAGCATAGAAGGCAAGGAAGCCCCACCTTGGCGAAGAGGGGGCACATGCATGGGCAGGGACAGGGAGGCAAGCAGCAGCAGCCCGAGAACGTAGCCGTGCGCTCCTCCGGTCGGAAGATGCCCACCTGAACTGA